TAGCACATGTGAAACTTTTTGTTTCTATTATTATGAATTTCTTCTTCAACAAGCACATAAAAGTAAGCGAAGGAAATAGAATATACTTAAATTTAAAAAAGAAAACCTAATTTCCAACATTCTTTATTGAGATAATCTACTAATCAATATGGAGTATTTATAAAAAAAAAAAAAGCGATTACACAGTGTTTGGAAAATAGATACCTACGAAACGTCTAAACTGCAATTTGAAATCATAAAATATTTAGTTTTTTTTATTACCATTAAATATCACAGATTATAGATTACAATATTTGAGAGAAAGCAATGTTTGCGTTAACACTTTTTTTCGATCATACCTTTCCTACCTTTTAAAATATTAACCTTTCTGCAACTAGACAAAGAAAACGATAGATTGCATTTAGGCGAATTTATGTACGCTTCTTACTGTTAAATTATCTAATTTATCTTCAGTCTATTAGTACTGTACCATCCAATAATTTGGTTTTATTTTGAAAATAATAACATACCAGACAGCTTGAATTGTTTTGCTTCGCACGATTGCATTTGCAGCAAACCAAAAATGCTTCCGTTTTATGTTTTTTGTTACAAATAATTAATTCTGAAACTAACCTTTCAATATGAACACAATAATCCATTAATATGCATGTTATACGATATAGCACTTTGGACGTTGTAACCGAGGTACAAACCACCATATAACTTTTTAATCACCCGCTGCACATAAAACACCAAAACAGAACACAATTCACAACCTATTCACATTAGCATGTAACCTCGTTGCTTCATGTTTTGAAGTTACCAATTTATCACCCGCAACACTAAAAAACCAAACAAACACAATTTCATGAACACGTATCACGATGAGCATTGTAACTCGTTGCATTCATATTTTTGAATGATGTATCCAAAATTTATCACCCCACACATAAACACCAAACAGAGCACAATTTCACGACACTGTATTCACATTAGCATTGAACTCTTGATCAATATTTTTTAATGATGTATTCAAAATTTTGTGTCTTCTTTAAGCACATATTCACAAACAAAAACAAAAATTCCATATTATCATGAGAGTTTTCTTCATTCAAGGCTTCCAACGATCTCCAGCTGCAATTCATTGCTGAGGCAGTTGAATAATGCTAGGACAGAACAAGGAAGATGCTAGTTCGTTCTTTGATGACATGAACTGTATTTATTTTTAATATAACATATTATTTAAATAGTCATGTTTGATTCAATTTCACACATGAAGTCAGTCTTTTCAAATGCCTTACAGATTGCACCTTTACCAAATTACTTGAAAGAATTGCTGGAATCTTTCTGTTCTGTTTACCGTTGTTCGCCACTCAGCTAGAAAGTCTAGCTTTCAAGTAACTGTGCAGTTAAATTCTTTGAACTTGAACTTTGAATTTTGCAGCTAGCCAAAGCGCGTGAAACCTCGAGACGTTCGTTTATTAAGCATCCAGTAAAGTAAATAATGAACATGGAATGTCACCAATTGAAGAGCAATGTACAGTTTCTGTAATTTTTATGCCAACATTAATTAGTAATTTATTAAATCCATTAATTTTGTTGTTTTCCATGAAAGTGTTAATATTTCTTTCTCTTTTTCCATTAATTTTTCTGTTCTGTCACCATATTAATTCAAATAAATTCGTCCTTACTTCAAAAATAATAAAAAAGTCTATTTCAGTATGAAGTATTGCTTGGGGGTGCATTGATTTCGGAAACATGACTTGTTAAAAAATATAAAATGCTAACTTAAACTTACTTTATAATATTTCATTTTAAATATTTTACTATTTCTAAAAATTGAAGTATTCCTTGTTTTAAACAAAATTTTAAACAATAATTTAGCCCGTATTTTATACGTTAATTTATTAATTCAAAAGTATTATATTAAATTTATATTTCATTAGATGAACCTACCATAGATTAATATACTTAGATGAAATAAAGTAATGAAACATTGCAAAGTAAATCTTATGCAGACTTCAGATTCTTGAAAGGGCAGATTTAGTCTCTTTTCATTCTAAAAATAATGCTGATGAATTATGAGAAAATTGCTAAAACGATCACGTCTAAAAGCGGTCATATCACGACGTTGTCAAACTGCCAAGATGCAACAAACAAATATTTTGCGCAACATTGTAAAGACGTCGTAGAAGTTACCACGACCACTTTGCAACGTCGTGTGCTACTTGGGATGCCAACATGTTTCAAATTGTACAATTTAAATTCTGTGATATATTTGTGATTATCTTTATGTACAATTGCTAAAAAATTTCATTGTCAGGTCAAGCGAGTCCTGTACTAACTCAGTCGAATTGACTATTTTTTACTTTTCCACCAAACATCTGACATCCTTTCATTGGTTTCATTAGTATCTTAGCCAATATGCATTATTATCAAAACTATTTTATAAATGAATGGCCAAGACATGCATCATGGATCTATTCTTGAGTATTATTGCTGAGGTACTTTACGAGAAATGCGTCCAATGAATGGCAAAGCTATTAAATCAGTTACTTTATTTCATCTAAATATATTAATCTAAGGTAGCTTCATCTAATGAAATATAAATTTAATATAATACTTGTGAATTATAAATTAATTAGTACTAAAAATACGTGCTAAATTATTGTTTAAAATTTTGTTACAATATTAATACTTAAATACTTTTTATTAACATTATAGCAAATATTTAAAAATGAAACTAATCTATAAAGTAAGTTTATTATTATTTTTATATATTTTAAAAAATCATGTTTCCGAAATCAATGCAAATCACATGTTAGCAATTACTTCACTACTGAAATATGACTTTATTTATTATTTTTGAAGTAAGGTCATCGCTGAGAAATTCAATTGGGGAATATGTCTTGTCTTAGAACAATGATTCATATATTATGCGAGACATTTTTTATCCTGCTTGTATTATTATGGAAGCTCAACTGATGATGATATTTCACAAATGCTATGCTAATGTATTTTGAACATCTAACTTCAAAATTACTGAAGTTCTCTATCATGAAATCTCCAGGAAGAAAAACAATGAATAAATTCATCTCTTCCACAAAGAAAGCAAAAAGCTTTCAGATTGCTCGACTAGTTTTTATGTAGAGAGAGAACTGTTAAGAATGAACTGATAAGAATGTAAGGAAAAAACTGCTTGTACCTGTACACATGGATACATGGGAATTTATATTTATTTTTATAAACGTATAGTTACATACATACGTTTATATAATATGTATAAACATGCAAGTGCAAATACATACAAAAAGGAAAGCATGCATGCCCACAAATTGGAATAAATATATACATACAAGCAAGTATGCCCACACACACACATATATATATATATATATATACGAGGGTTGGGGCAAAAGTCATGGCAACTATTTTTTCTTGTAGATATGTGAATGGATCTCAAAACACATATGTGTCGTGTGGAAGTTCTGCAGGCATAGTATGTATGCAGAACAACAGATGGCTCTGTAGTAGCGAGGGCTCTGAAATCAAACAGTTGGTGAGTCGTGCGAGATGGAAGTAACCCGTGTTGAGCAGCGTGCTTACATCAAAATAGCCGTTCTCCTACGGAGAAATGTGATGGAATGTCACAGTGAATTAGTAGAAGGCTTTAGGAATACTGTACAGTAGCACGGTGAGTAAAAAAGTTTCAGCACGGACGTGTGTCAACCAGTGATGAGCAACGTTCAGGATGAGTGGTGAGTGTGTAGACTGACTTAGCACCTGCCGTCATCGAGCACCTCATGGATGTAGACAGATGATAGACGTTACTGGAGTTAGAGAGGGCAAGTGGCATCGAAAAACGCACCGTCCACAGGATATTGCGTAATGAACTAGCGTCAGAATCCTTCCCCAGTCAAATTGATGGTGATCGTCAAATATGATGTCAGGGGTGTCTTTGTTTGCTACTTTGTTCCTCATGGCAGAACAGTGACCGCACAGGGACTTCCTGGTGTGATACGTACGATGTGGCATTCGGGATAAACATCCGGACCTTGTGGACAGTACAATAATTCTGCATGACAATGCAAGACCACATAAAGCAGAGTGTGTACGGCAGCTACTCCGGCGTTAGTGGATGGGGAAGAATTGGAGCACCCACCGTACTCTCCTGACCTTCTTTCCCTGTGACTTTGATCTCATTCCCAAGATTTTGGAACCAATACAGGTAGCGGTTTGCAACACGAGAGCACATTGCTAATGCTGTGCGCCAACAGAATGTCCCGATTCACACATGGTGCGGCAAATGCTGAGGCTGATGGTATTCAGCGTCCTGCTACATTGTTGGCAGCGTGTGGTGACAGTAGCAGGGAGTACCATTGAGGGTCTTTAGGTCCAGGTTTGTCATGTCAACTTTATGTGTATTGTGTTATCATTCTTTTGCACGGTGAAGGCCATATTGCCCTGTATACTAACGTAATAAATTCGTGTGTTATGATATTCAAGTGCTATTCATTGTCCACACATGTAGTTAATAAGACCTTGTCCTTTCGTCTGTCTATGTCACATTTTCCAACCGGACTGGTATCTTCAAGAAAAAAATAGCTGCCATGACTTTTGCCCCAACCTACATATATAATGTATGTACATATGCATATATACATGTTCCATCATGAACATTTGAAAAATATATGTAGTTTCTTCTTTTTACTATTTTGGGTCCTGTAGAGGATCCAATTAAGATGAGAAAGAGATATTGCCTTAAAAAATCTTTTTATACAAAAGATCAAGTTAAAAAATTATAATTTCTATATAAATACATAGTGTTTTTATTTATTTATTTATTTTCTGAAAATTATAAACAGATTACTTGATTTTTTTATAAAATAAAATGAAAAACAGGGTTTTGAGGTATAAATTGCATACTAAAATAAATTACATTCATAAGTCGAGGTACCACTTGTATGTTCTCCCCCAAAAGATAGCACAATGTATTTTAATTAATTCAACAACATACTTACATCATTCATGATTTGATCCCTTGCAATGGATTCTAAATACCACTCTTCTTTCCTCTTTTCCCACAGTGTAGATGCTTCCTCACTGCAAATAAAAGAGTAAAAAAATTTTTTTCTTGCATGTAATAGAAATTTTGGTACTTTTCCGTTTTGCCGGCGCAAGCGATAAAGTCGCCAATAATGGTACAACCGATGCCAAACGGAATATTCTCGCTGGTAACCTTTTACGCCTCATTTTCAAACAAGTCGCAGCTTTTCTTATCAGATTGATTGTTTCTTTCAATACTGACATATAATTACATAGAATTTTTATCAGATAGTTCAGTTTTATGTCTAAGGCCATTTTCGGTAATTAAGTCAATTAGGATGCAATCACAGCGCTTACCCGAAGCCGAAATATAAAAGGTAAAGTCAAGGGTTAAATTCATCAATTCTAATGAGAATGCATTAGCGAAGTAAAGCACTGCAGTTTTCCAAATTTTCGGAGTAAGCTCTTCGTACGAATTAAAATATTTCTTGCATTTAAACTTGTTTCCAAATTAAGATTTAACTTGAAATTAATGTAGATAATTACTGAGAGCATTAGATTTTTGTAGAATAGTTTGTGTGAGATGAGAACGCTGGGGTCACATGATAGAACTGGAATCAGGATGTTGAACCATGAAAGCATAGTAAATTCTTAAATTAATGTCTTTTTATAAATTTTATTGTCTTTATTTATTGGCTTTTTATAAAATTTTAAGCGATATTAAAAATGTTTATGCCTTCAAATAAAAATTCTTAGAACTAAAAATTTTTAAATATTTTTTATGTGTATACTGTATGTTGTCGCCAATAAAGTCTGCTTGGCGAGATTTGCGCTGGCGAAATGGAAAAGTACCGAAATTTTTACCAGACTTTTTTTAAAACACTTTTAGAAAAAATATGAAGAAAGAATTCAGGTTGAAAAAATTTTTTTTACATCAAATTGATGAAATACCTCAAGGTGTTTTCAAAGATACTATTGCAGCAATTTATCAAGGAATTATATTTTGAATTTATATCAAACTTGGTAAAAACACAGATAAAGAGAGAAAGGAAGAAAGATTACTTAATAAAATAAACAGGGTTGACATTAAAAACCAGAGATGAGACTATGCTAAATTTTTTTTAAATGGGGGGAAAAAAAGTACACAAACTAAGTACTCAGAAATTTTCCAGTAAAATTATAGGACAAAAACTCTAAAACTACTATATTGTCGTTTTAGGGTTCTTGTCCTAAAACCACTATAACCGCATGTGATGTGATACACATACACATACACATTTTTAAATCTCAGATTTTTTATGATGTCTATGAATTTATATCAAGAACTTGAGCACAAAGTACTACAAGAAATTTTTAATAAAGGCAATTACACACAGTTTGCACAAAAGTCTACATGACCTTTATTTTTGCAATTGTTGGTCGTAGACCAATATTTTCTGTTAAAAAAATGTTTTAAATGATGTAATCATTCAGATTTTGCCGCTTTTCAATTTCAGAAAGTCAATTATGTTTAAAAATTACAAAATCTAACTTTTAGTATAGTCCTATGGTTCCTACAATTACACTTAAGAAAATTTATACTCAATATTAAAAGCACAATAGAAAATGTTTCACTCCTATACAACAAAAACTGACAGAGATTTCAAAATCCAGGCCACCTGATGGCATTTTTGACATGCTTTGCCAGTTCATAAATAAATTAGAATAATTCAAGTTTGACTCTTCCCCTAAATGTAACACACATATTTTTTTTTAATTTCCTAATGTTATTTAATTTATAATGTTGCTAAATTTGTTATGTTAAAAGAATTTTCACAAAAGTAATTTATAAGTTTTCAAATGCTAAAAATACATTATCAATATTCTCATGAAAGTTTTATTACTTTAGAATCATAATCTAATAATCATACAACAAATTTCTTCAACTAGAAAGATTTTTAATTTACGGAAATAATGCTATAAGTTGGCTATGTGCCAATATTGAAGTCTGCAATTTTTTTTTCCTAGAATATAAATGTTATTATGATTTTGTAAACAAAATCCAATTTTTTTAAAAAACAAAATACATAGTGACAAATACCTTTCCTGACAATCTGCAGAGCAATACTTATAAATTAATCTATAATACCAGAAACTTTTTCTAAACAGCTATTTCATTTTTAGTGACATTCAAAGACATACTGCTCTTCAGTTTGTGTACAATCCCCAAATGGAATCTCAAATTTTAAAATTAAATATCTTGATAAATTGTTGTCTTATGAAAATTAACACATTGTGCTTTATTTTTATAATGAGTATAAACTTTTCCTAAGTGTAACTCTGCAGAGACTGATAAAAAAGTCAGATTTCAAAATTTTTACATTAATTTTTAAAATTTAAAAACACTAACATCTACAACCTGCAGTTGCAAAACCGGTCAGATAAGAACTTTTGTAGACAAGGTTATATTTTTAAAATGCTTTAAGAGATACAAACTGGTATAATTGTTGAATTTCAAGTTCCCTTTCCTTCTCTAGTGCAATTTGCATAGTTATTTTTTCCTTAGTTTCTTTGACACTATCTAAGTTCAGTAATGCCAAAGCTGTATCCTCAGTAGCTGTACTATTCATTTCAGATAGAGAAACAAGAAGTTTGCTATCAAAATCCTGTTGGAAGAGAAAAGAAAAATCTACATACATACGAACATAGAAAGACATACATGGTTTAATATTAAAAGTTTATGATACATTTACATAATGTCCCTTACTTAAATGCTATCAGTTATTTCAGTTAATTAGTTCTATCAGCTTCATTGCAACTCTTGTGGTAAATTCCTCAATTAGTCCCCCCCCCCGTAGGGTGAGAAATTATTTTCAGATGTTACTAGATCTTGGTCAATTTACCAATGTAGTTGGTTAGCAAAATCTAACTAACTGTGATAGAGTTTAGAAACGACTGACAGAGAATTTCTCAAAAAGCACAACCAAAAAGAATGCTTTGGAGAGTTTTGGTATCACTAAATAGCATCAACCAAGTATCATCAAAAGGCTACAAATATTTGTATATTTAAAACAGAATTTTTAACAATTATTCTGGGATTCACAAACATCAGTTTCAAAATAATTTTCCTCGCAAAATCATTGTGCTTATTATCTCATATTGTTCCTTCATAAAATGCTTTTTATTTTTATAATTTTATTTGTTTATATTTTGACATTGGTACCAAAAAAAGCCTAGTCTTACAACTGCAGTTAACAGGTCACTCCAGATAATAATTTTTTTTTCAGGTTATACTGGAAAAGTATAAAAATTTATTTGCATTTCACATTTCATGGAATATTTTACTAATGAACCAAATAGAACTATTTCAAACTTTTTTTTATTTATTATTATTCTAGTATATATAATATTTTACTAAGTGGAACTTTTACTGAGTAAGAACTACATAAAAGGTAATATTTTTTTCCATAGAAACTTTTCTATTCACCGTGTTGAAACTGTTTTTGAACAAATGCTAAACTTTATTTAAAAAAACTACATATATATATTATTCTGTATTTGTACTGTATAAAGGATATTCAAATGAAAAAGTACAAAATGACACTGTGGGTATAATTGAAGTCTTTATTCACAAGTAATCATCAAAGTTCTGAGCACAACTATCCCACTTTTTCACGAGCCAAAGGATTCCCTGTTCCCAGAATTCCTGTGGCTGAGACAGGAGCCAGTCTTCCACTATGTCCTTCAGTTTGTTGTCAGAGTCGAAGTGCCTCCCTTTGAGATGTTTTTTTCAGCGGACTAAATACGTGGAAGTCCAGGGTGGCATATCCAGGCTGTCGGCTAGATGCTCAAGCTGCTCCCACTTAAACTTGACCCTTACACTTTGTATGACCTTGGAGACATGTGGATGCATGTTATTGTGGAGCAGAATCACTCCCTCTGTGAGCAGCCCAGGCTGTTTGCCCTTGGTGGACTTTGGCAGGCTACAAAGTGTCTCACAGTACATGTCACTGTTAATGGTTTTTCCGTGCTAAGGAATCAGACCGGGCCTTGAATTTCGAAAATGATGATGAGTATCATCTTGCCTGCTGAGGGAACAGTTTTGAACTTTTATAGGGGGGGGAGGTGACAATACATGCTTCCATTACATGCTGGCCTATATATAGGCGTCATCTGAGAGATCATACATCAACTTTGAAAACATATAACTATCTTAATTAAAGCAATTAAATTTTATTTTCAATGCAAACAATGTAAATACTTGTGAATTTGAAATGTGCACTAAAATTCTCCTGCTTCAGTGGTTCTCAATCTGTTTTGCCCCATGCACCCTTTCACCACTGTTAGAAGATAATTCCCCTTCCTTTACATAACTTAAAAAATACATATTTATTTAGATTACTTTCTAACATGTTTTATAAATTAAACATAGATGTGTATATACATAGGTAAATCACAAAGTTCTTTTCATTTTTATTAATAGAAGTAAGGGCATATTTTTCCTTCCATAATTAATTACAATGCTAATTATTATACATAACTAAAGAAAATATATTTGACTTTATCATCATTTTAGACAGAATAAGTGGATTAACAGAAAAATTCAAAACATACCAAGCCATGCTGCACTTCATTTAACATCCTTCGTAGTTTGTCCCGTGGCTGCCACATACTTTGTATTCTATAAATACATTAAATATACATATATAATATGGGTAATTCACAGTAAAATAAAAAAATGCTAAAGTAATTAAAAAAAAATCAAACCTTTCTCTAAATTCAGTCAAACTCCACTATCGTGAACCTGATTTATAATGAATAAACATTTTAGTTCTGTTCCATTTTATGTATGGCTATAACTAACCTCTAAAGATATGAAAGTTGGATATAACAAGTTTTATGCACATCTTACACTCAGGCCCGGATCGAATAGGTGCAGGGCCCGATTGGATTTTTTTTTTGCGGGGCCCTCTCTCTATATTAAATATTTAAATAACATTCAAATTCAGTATATATATATATATATATGTATATCAAATGTCATGGATCATCAGACAGGTAAACTTCTACATAAATTAAAAATAAAAATGTAAAAATCCACCATTGGCTGGTATGGTTGTGCAACTAGTTGCGCGTGCATACACCTGCATAGTAGTTTACGTACGTAAAGTAGTTTAAAGACATAGTGCAAACTGTCTCTAATATAGGAATATCCCAATTAAATTCAATACATTTGACATGAACTCTTACGGGTATTAGTTTTTTATATTATAAAGTATATATTATATAATAATAAACACTAATAAATCTCATCCAACAATGCGAACTTAAAAAATAGATATATTTTTAATTATTTGAATCATTCATAATTTATCCATTATCACCAAAAGCAATTTGCTTTACATTTTGAAATTATTTTTTTTTTGTTCATTTTGATGGTATCGCGGGGCCCTTTCAAATGTGGGGCCAAATTGCTCCAATCGCCCTTTATCCAGCCCTGCTTACACTGTTCTTTTTACATTTCTTACAAAATTTCTTCAAATTTTAATTAAAAAATTACTAATCTTTTATATCATCCATGTTTAGGATGTTGGGATACACATGTGAGTACACCAGGAAATACACATTACTGTTCTTTTATCTTTACCCCTGCTTCTTTTATATTCTAAATTAGCAATTATTAACTGGGGAGGTTCATAGATTCACAAAGAATGTGGCCAGACTTTTATTTAAATGTTACACATGCAAGTTTTATTCATTTTATAATTAAAAAAAAAAAAAAAAACTACTTTTATTCAAGTTTTCGTATTTATTGACATTTTTATACTTTTTTGTTGTTTAATTTATAAAAAAATGTTAAAAATAATATAAATCTACATAACTGTATATATATGTTTTTTAACTTTGTAAAGGAAGGGAGGCATGATCTTTGATTCAATTCAAGTTTTGCGACTAAGTTGTCAGGAAGAGCTTTGTTCAAGGCTAATGCTGATAGAAATTTTGAGATTTTCACTATTCAGGGAAAGAAGAAATACTGAATAGTTTCTTATGATCTTGGGGATTTACAGGTGACTTGTTTTGCTTCATTATTTCCAAATTCCAAATTCTGTCTTCTGAATGCGGATTTCCAATTTTAGGTCTTTTGCAAAATAAATGGTATTCTTAATAAAAGATATTATACCTTTGTTTTGCAGACAAAAATATCTTGGGAGAAATTCCTGTGTTCTCACTGAACATTGGATAAGACAGATAAATACCAAAATTATATTCTTTTTTCTGTTTTTCCAGATGAGTGAAGATTTCACATATTCTTTGATATCTCTTCACACTTTGCATTGTGGTGAGAATTTTTTGAGTCAAAAATTCACCTGTAGATGAGCTGCATTTGGGACTGAATATAAGATAAACTTTATACTGGGGGGGGACAGAATGGATGTAGCCAAATTAACATGAGCTGAGAATACAATTTATCTAAACCTGCAATTGGTATCATGTTTGAAGTTACTAATTTCTGCTCATGGAAAAAATTTTAATAGGAGGAAAAAGTTAGGAAAGACAAAAGAATCTTGAAGAATTATTATTGAAATGGTTCACCATTTGAAAAAGCTGTAATCTACCAATATTTGGACAAATGTTTCAGACAGAGGCCAATGAATTTGTCAAGCGCTTTGGAAAGAAGATCTTTTCGTAAGCAAATGGTTGTTTCGATAAATTCAAGAAGCAGAAGAATATGTTTTGGAGAAATTGTGAGAGAATCAAGAATCACTTTAAAATAGATGTCAAGAAATATTAAAAACAATGTTTGGGATGATATCTGTCACCAGTAAACCATCTTTAATGGTGATGAAGATGGGTTGTTCTACAAGATGATGCCAAAATGAATATTAAAATTTAAATATGCATTGAAGAGAAATTTTCAAAAGAGTAAATTACAGTTTTTGTGGGCACCAATATTATAAATGGCACTACACACTGTAGGCTTAGGGTAACAGTAAAATCTCAAAAGCTAAGATGCTCGAAAAATGTGAATTTTTCTTAGCTTTTTGTTTGCCGTAAAGTTAATTGAAAGACATGGATGATACTGGAATTGCTTGAAGAAGTACTATGAAAATAGGATAAAGTGCTTTCGCCCAAAAACAAAAGATTCTTCTCTACTACAATTTTTAAATTATTTCTTGGTTTAAAATTGTTTTAGTGCTTCTAGATGCAACTTCAGCTATGCAGCCTGTGAACCAAGGCATGATCAGGAGCTTGAACTCTCATTACAGAAATCAACTCATTTTATGCATTCTAGAGAAGTACAACAATCCGACAGATTACCATTTTTAACTTCTTGATGCAGTACCAGCATTAGAAAATTCTTGGAAACTTGTTACAAAATTTAAAAATCAAAAATTTTGTAACAAGTTACAAAATCAGCCATTTGAATTTGCTTTTGGTATGCTAGTCTAGCAAAGAGTGTTGAAGATAATGATAGACATGAGGATTTTCATAAGGAAAAAGTGCCATTTAAGTATTTTCAGAATGTAATATGGAGCTTTTCCAAAAAAAGGATGGCTTTGTTGCATGAAAATATTCAATTAATACAGATACTGTGACAGAAATTAAAATGAAAAATGGTTACATTAAAGATTTTTCTTTTGATATTGATGAAAATTTTGAAGAAAAGCAACACATGATAAGTAAACTCCCTATCATAGCAGATGCCAAAGCTGCAATATGTACCATTAATAAGTTTTTATTTCCACAAACTGTAGGACAGAAAGTAATGGAGTCTCTTCAGTTTTGGGACAAACATATGGAAAAAAATTTTCCTGCAATTCACATACCAATGCCAGCCGAAAATTACAGATTATTTTTGTACATGGATGTTAAACAGAAGTTACAGATAAATTCTTCAATATTTTTTGTTATTTGATTTCGAATCCCTCCCCCCATTTTTATAGATGAAATAACTATTTGAGAAGGAGATGGTAATTTGAAGGAAAACTCAGAACTTTTGTATTTTGTGTAAAATTATTAATGTATGATGCAACTGAAAAGAACAAACAACAAATTTAATAACTGAAGATGACATCAATTATAAATTAAACTTTAATATAATTTCTTTTTTAATTAGGATTATCTATCAATATTTTTTGTTATTAATATTCAGTATTTTATATTTTTATGGATAAAATAATTATTCAGAGATTGTAATTTGAGGGAAGGATCAGACCATGACTTTTATGCTAAGTAATGTGTCATCTAGAACTCTTAGTCTATAGTGAAAGCTGAAAAGATTATAAGATAAATTTAATAAGCATAACTAAGCCTTGATTTTTTACAATTCATGTTACTGTTCACTTCTTGGTAGATGTGACATAGTTAAACTTTCCTTTCCCCCATTAGTCAATTTTTAAATTTTTCTGAGAGATAATCCATTTTTCCTAAAGGAACGGATATAGAAAACCAAACTATTGATACCTTGAAGTTAATTATAGTGGGGCTTGAGTGCATTTCATAATGCAGACCCTTTACTATAATGATTAGCAAGCAACATTTATGCAATCCAACAAATTCCATATTGCCTACTTATATTTCACACTAAATACAAAGATACCATATTTTTAAAATAATTAACTTCTCCATTTACAATTATAATTGATTTCAGTTGATTTAATTCAAATAATTAAAAAAATGGAATAAAAAATATGTATGAGACACTGTCTATTTTTGATTAAAAATTAATAATGTATAGGCTTTTTAAAAAGTAATTATCAAAAAGAAAAATTATTCACAGGAATTTTATGTACACAATCATACAACAAATCTCTAAAACAATTTTCACCTTTGAAACCCTTTTCTTTGTAAATCCCGAACTAAATCTCGCCTTTGTTGCAAAGAAAGCAAAGTTTCCATATGTCCAATGAGAATATCTTTTTCAGCCTTTAGTTTTTGTGTCTGTAAACAAACAAAAATTCAAAATTTAAAATAACACAATTATTTAAGTACACTTCTAGGCTGGCTTTCTGCTGCCAAAAAATAATTTTTGTTCTGCAAATAGCAGGAACTGATTATAACTAGTTAAAATCAACAGAAAACAGCAACAACTAGCAGAAAGTAATAAAAGTATTTAAAATGCTTTATTTACTAATAATACTTACTAATTTATTAAATTATTTTTAACACATAAAATAGCATACATTTTAATTAATATATACAAACTGCAAAAATAATTAATTATTTCTTTAGTATGTAATAATGAAAAATAAAAATACATTTTATTTATTTATATCATTGTATTCCTAAAAAAGTAGGGCTTAAAATTAACAATAAAAATAGAATGCGCCTTTTCTTTTAAGCAGGTAATCCTTATATGTTTTCCTGGTCCAGTAAAGAAATAAAGTAAATAAATTTACAAAAAATTAAAATCAATAATTCTCATTGGCCTCGCCTATATACCCTCAAAACTCGCATCAATGCACAGATTTTGCTTGCCAGATTTAACAATGGTAGCTGTTGGCAATGCATGGCCTTGGAACATCTAAAGAGCTTCATTTTGCCCTAGCAGGGGCAGTGAATTCTCAAAACTGTTGCATATGGGTTACTGCAGATCCCAATGTTGTGCATAAACAACCTGCATAATCTGATTACATGACTGTATTATGTGGTTTTACTTCAGAATTCACTCTTGGCCCATTTTTCTTTAAGAGGTGTACTCCTTACAAACAAAAGAATATTTAAGAGATTACTGTCTTCATTCAAAATGGTGCAATATCCCATATGAATTGAAAAGTGAAGGAGTTCTTCCTTTATGCTTATTTTGGAGATGATTGGGTAATTTTCTGGAATGGAATCTTGTGACTGTGTTCAGGGATTCCTGAAAGATCCTGTCTGTGGATGAAGCATAGGAACTCTGCCTGAATTGAAAGCAAATAAATACACAATGTTAATGTAATTTCTCAAGAAACCTTTCACTGTATAGTTGAATATGCTAAAATGGCTCTCAATAGTTTTTGGACAATTGTATTTTAGAAATTTATTTGTACAGATCTTGTACTAAATGCCAAAACATAGAATTCAAATTTTTTATATACATTATATTTTCTCCATTTTTAGCCTTGTTTGCTACAAAATAAATATCATCAAAATCATCTTTGAAATAAAATAATTTATTCTAGAAGTGTTATAATCAATAATTCATATAATAATCCAGACACACAGAACTTCAAGTTTTGAGACATTTCAGCAGATAAAAGTTTCTGGCAATATTTTTTTTTTTTTTTGAATGAAAATCCATCACAAGAATTATCTGGGTTTGGAAATTATTACTCGTTTAGCAAAACATATTAACAATTCCATATCTGAAGTTGACATGAGAGGACATTAAAAACTAATTACAAGTTCTGCAAGAAATTTTACTACTTTTCATTTTACAGATAGTAAAAGCATTTGAAATATCCAAAAAATCCTTGATATAAAGCCTTCAACTATTTTTGATGTTACAAAAGAATGGAAATTGCATGAAACTGTTGAAGATGCACTGAAGTTTGGACCATGTCCCAAGCTAACACCAAGGGCTTGGAGATTTATGCTATGGCATGTCATCTATGAAGTTCCCAGTGTGGAGTTTGTAGGGTAGGCATGGCTCATATTTATGCAGCAAATAAATTGAGGATCTTCTGATGGAATTAATTTGGAGAACGTATTTGTCTCCTTAATAGCAAGTTTTGTATTTCCATCAATGTTGTGAGTAATATCTGAAACTATTTGAGAAGGAGGAGGTATGTTTTGAGGGCAAGTAATAGATGAGAATGATTACTTAAAAGTTATATTTGTTTTGTTAATGATTCAATGTGTTTCAATAATTTTGTTTTATCAGGAAGTCTTTCTTCAGGACTATTCTCATTATTCTTTCGTGACTGCATATGAACAGTGTATGAACTGACATTTTATTCTTTTTCTGATAACAAAACAAACTACATGCTACTACTGTCACACATATCCAAGTAAATACTTCTTTTCTGGATCCTTGCGATGCAAAACACAAATATGAGCTTTATACAGTGGTAAGCTATGATAATTTTAACACAGGAACTTATTTTTTAAAAACAAAATATCAAATTTTAATTAACTGTTTTACATAAAAAAAAAAAAAAAAAAAAAAAAAAAAAAAAAAAAAAGGTAAATAAATATGACCCCCATTTTTTTTTTTTTTTTAATTACACATTATGACAGAAATTATACAAAGAATGAGCAAATTTAATTAAATGGTTTAATTTATGATAGGAGCTGCCACACATTACTTTCTTCTCTTTTCACATCAGTCAATCTTCTAGAAGTTCTAAACAGATGATTTTGATTTAAGCATCTTGATTTTTAATATTTTCACACTCAACAATAAGTTTATAGAAAATGGACAGCATTTTTCAAAACCTGCTCAAATTTTATGTTAACTACAATATGTTTGCTCAAATTTAAATAGAACCAACATTCTGTTTATAAGAAACTTAAATATTTAAATGTGTTCCAAAGAGATGAGAAAATAAGAAAGAGAAGAATACTATTTTTTATGTCTTATATCCTCCATTCAGCATATATTGCCTCACTTACAAGTACTATGCATCATAGAGAGAAAATGAATCTTTTCATATAATTACTTACTGTTTATAAGCATACAAATTATCTGAAAAAAAAACTGTTAAATAAGAAGTCTTAAAATAATATAAATACAATATCAAAATTTAAAAAATTATAAACAAAAGTACTGAAATTTAACCTCATTCTCAGCAGCATTAAGATCGTCCATCTTTTTCTGTATAAAATTAGCCCAACTTTCTTGCTCTTTTAGCTGTTCCATTTCAACTTCCCTGGCTTCTCGGGTGGCTTTCAGTTGCTCAGATTCCAGAATTTTGATTTTCTCTTTTTCTTTTTCTTGTTTTTCAATACTTAACTTGGAAGAGGAAACATTTAAATGAAGTAACAGTAATTCATTTTATAAGTTTACAATAGCAACTAGTATAATAATATTTTAAATTATAAATTTTGATATAGCATGAAATCCATAACATACTTTAATAGCTAAAGAACATATGGTATATTTGGAAAAAAAAATCTGAAAGAAAAGAATCTGCACTTGCAAGGAAATAGTTGTTCATGTGTTAAGATGTAACAACACAAAACATTACAAAAAAATTAAGGGAATTTATCTGGAGGGAGGAGAAAAAAAGAAAAACTAAACAGTGATAATTTTTGACTTCTTAATACATCAGTACGTATACTATTGATAATTTTGAAACATAAATTACAAAATTAAAAAATATTTGTGGCATTAAAATATGAACACTAAGAAATGTCATCCATCTTCCAAATTAAAGCTGAATTTTGTTGAAGTTGAAATTTTGATAGAAACTTATCAAAAATGACCACTACTTTTAATATCCAAAAGGTTTACACTTAAATGAACAGGATTCTCACAATTCTTTTACACAAACCTGTTTGAATTAAATGCACTTGCACACTCCCTTCTTTGTAATAAATATCTTTTAATCCAAATCAATTGGTATTATGAATAGCCTAAAATCAGCTTTCAAATTCTCAGACCAAAAATAATTAATACATCGAGATACCATCTAATCATCATGTACGTTGGATTGACTTCAGATTTATTCAATACACTTTCAAACAATTCTATTACTTGCACTAATTTCTTTAAATATTTACCTCAAAACATTTTAAAACATTATTTACTTGCATTGCAGCTAGCTCCTTATGCAAAAGTACCACTGCTTTCCAGAATGCAAATTAGAAGGAATATTTTCCTACTTATAATCTTTCAACTTCATAAAATTTCAGATTTGTAAAGAAGTTTCTATGAAATATATAAGCCAGAGAATCCAAGAAATCTACTTCTTGGCAACTGACTGAACATTTCAGCATGACTGATAAAACAGTAGGCTCATCTATGTCTCAGGACCAAGCAATGAAAGATTAATAAAAAATTTCACAGTTGCCTATTACCTCCTATAAAAAATTATTTAGAACAAATTAAGACTTCCAGACAACTCTTGATAGATATTTCAAGAAATTTAAAACAATAAAATAAATAAAAATTAAAAAAAAAGTACACAATACCATGCCATGTACACCTACCAGCAGGGTTATTCAGATTTTTCCCAGTTTCTGCCTCTTATCCATTAAAAGTTATTTACTCATTTTATTTACACATTAGCCACTATGATCAGTATAGCTGTTAGTGACAGTGAATGCTGTACAGGGTTCATCACATTTTTCTTCAGATTGAAATTATATACTTTAAGCACTTTTTTACTTTTACGCTGCAGAAGAGAACTGCTGACCCTACAACTATAAAATTTGTCTCACAGCATTATTGTCTTCCTTGCAGAAGCAATCTAATGCTGCTGCGCCCCCTCCGCAGGAGGGCCGGCAGAACAGACTGCTAGCAAACACATAATGAAAGAAATTCACAAGGCTATTTACAGCGATGCATAAGTTCTTAAGACTACACAGTCTTGTGCTAATCACTGATGGTCCTGTGTTGAGACAGAGATTACTGGTTGTAAGTTTAGAACTTAACAAGCACACTTACAAAAATTTTTAAGGACCTATCAGCAAAGGGAATTGAATAAATTAACCTATTATCCGCTGGTGTTGCGTTGACGCAACAGTCAAAATAAATGCATATATAAATATAACTACCTAAGATATTTTATACCAACAGATGATTTTGGGTGGAGAATATTATGAAGATGATTTCTGTAAAATATATTTGCCTTCAACAATCATTTTGTTTATAATAATTAATCACATACTTTAAGCAAAAATTTTGACCGGGTATATCTGCCGAAAATATTTAACGAAAAAAATCGCTGTCTTTATATGTAATCTATTTTTAGTCAAGGTTACCATTTATCAGAACATTACATCAATCAGATGTTTACATTTGTGTAGGGAAGGAATGGAAAATAGGTGTTGCGCTGATGCAACGTCAGCAGGAAATGGATAATCTCCTTTTGTAGTGGTCCCTTTCGATGTTCTGGCTGCTTTAAAAATGCCTACAACGAGGTATCTTACATTAGAAGAAGCTTTTCAAAGATCTCTTGACGAAGAAACAGATGATGATAATGTTAATAATGACCAGAATGAAACTGATAGTTTTGTTGTTCTCCCCAGAAATTGCAGAAGCTAGTGATGAGGAAGGGAATGACCAATGTTTTAAATAATGATATTTTACCAAATGATACTGCTGGGGAAGTTGAAATTCACATAAGAAGTAAGTTTCAGCCTTCTAAAAACAGTGGTAGTCATACAAAAAAGTTTAAAAAGCAGAAAACTTGAAATGGATAAAAAAGGAACCGTCAGTTATGCCTCAGGAAGAAAATGAAGAAAGAGATAAAAGAGAAACTATAAAAGACAAAATACAAGGTAAAACTAGTGGAAATTTTTCGATTTTCTTTTTGGTTCACACACTTACTCTCTTCTCGTTGAACAGACAGATATATACGCTTTGCAAAAAAAATCACCCAGAACTTATTGCATCTAAAGTCTGAGAAGATTTATTGGAATATTATTGCTTACGGGCTATCATTCTTTACCTCAAGAAGAAATGTATTGGTCTCTTGATAAGTACGTTTCAGTTCCTATAGTACAAGAATCGATGTCACATTTGCAGTACAGGAATATGAAGCAGAATTTGCATTTCGCTGACAATAGTCAAATTGACAATACCGATAAATTATATAAGGTGAGACCGTATCTAAACTTACTAAATAAGAAATTACTGCAATTTAGTATATTTTCCCACTGATGAGTAAATGATTCCTTATTGAGGCAAACAGGAGTCAATTTATGTTATAATTTAGTATCCAATTACAGAATAAGAGTTCGTGGCCAAAAGTGGTAGTGGCGAATGTTTACTAATTACATTGATGTAGCCTTGGTAAATGCATGGAAAATATCACAACTTTCTACTACTGGAAATAAAAAGTCTCTTTTAGATTTCAAACACGAGATTGCATTATTCCTTTTGCAGACTCCTATTGATAGTGTAGAATTAGCCAGAAATAGATCAGCAACAGGAAGACCTAGTAAATTCAGCATTCAAGAACCATTGCATGGAGATGGTAGACATTTTATCATAAAGTCTGATGATGTGCCACAGCCAGACTGTTTATAGATGCAAAGTATGTAATGTAGTTTTACATCATGATTGTAGTGAAGCTTTTCATGCTTGAATCTTTCAATTAAAATAATCTGTATTTGTAAAAGAAATATAATATATATTTAATATTAAATTAACTAAAGTAAAGTGATTTGTAGATTTATAAAATGCTATACAGCTAAAAAGTAATCCAGTGCTCCACTAAAAGGAAACATCACATGAGTACAATCCTACTCACTAAACATCCGTAGTCTTATTCCGCTGACGTTGCGCGAATGCTACACTAGTGCAACTTCCACAGGTAAGAGCATTTTTTTCAAAATTTTCAATGTAAATTTATGTTATAAATGCTTATTTTAATATTTGTTATTATTTTCATGAGAAAAGAAACATTCCTTGTAGTTTTGGCGGTTAATGGATTAAAGCAATTATCTATACCTATGCTTCACTTTTATAATACCATTCTAAGAATAAAATAAATCTGCAAGTAGGATACATTATTATTAAACAATGCATTATTTAGTATACTATAAAACAAATTTGAGAATAAAATCAATTTTTAAAATTTATAAGGTAATTAGCATGAAATTACAAAATTCCTCTGATACTTACTTACAGCATTTATATGTTATATTTACAATAGTTCCACATATTTTAAAGAAGATTAGTGACATTTAAGTTTCACTAATAATCAGTTTTATGTTTATTCTTTCTTTATGCCTCGTTTTGTCACATAGTCGCTCAGTCCAAAGGTATATGCAAATTTTATGTCAAATGATATAGGTTAAAATGAACCATGATTTGTAACAGAAGCTAACATTGTAACATAGATGAGGAAAACCAACCCACTTAACGATAGATCATGACCTTTCTCTCTCACTATTACTTAACCACATTAAGAATTATGGTAAAGCCAGAAAGTAAAACACGTATAACGGAAAGTGATTCGCTTTTATAGAAAAAAAATCAAAAACATTTCCGTATACTCCCTTCTCTCGGTGAGTAAAGGACAACTCTAAGAAACTCCTCTCACCTTTCATAGAAAAGGAAACAGGTGAGGTTTTAAAAACTTCCCACAGCAGTGGCTGTTTGATGGATTGTGCAGAGAGACTGACAGATGTTTTATTGGCAAGTGCAGCAGATAAAAGTGCATCTCAGAACTCTGGAGAAGTGATTCATGTGCCTCTGGTGGAATCTCCACAATATTTCTTGGTTTGATGGTAGCCAACTTCCATGTTTGACGAGATAATACATATGTACCAAAGTAATTTCTAATATGTAAATAAAACTTCTTTTTATATAAAAATAGAACTTCTTTTATATCTTCATAAAGAAAATCATTTATTGCTTTCTCAAAACAGCAGCCCCAATAAACAAATCTTCATAATTAAACTTATTTATTTATTTCCAATGTTACTATAATTCACCTGAGATACAGAAATAGAATTTGAAACAAAACCAGGTTTCACAAACTTGAAGAAAATTTCTTAAAACAATTAATGATCAATGAATTAATGAAATCCCTTGTTTGAAAACTGTATTGAGAATATCGAATGATGGCAAAATGTTATGCAGGACGAAACACATTTTGGAAAGGTTCAAAGACAGTAGCATATTTTCAATATAACAGTAATTCAGTAACAGTATTTTTATATAACAGTAACAACAGTTTTTCATGACATAAACTTACAGTAACTGACAAATGTTTCACCTCTCAAGCATTATTATTATTATTATTATTATTGAAAGATTTCTGTAGACCTTTTATTTTGAGAGACCTCATCTTCAAATTCTTTAGATATTTTTTAACTTTCAATATAAATAACTTTCAATATAATAACTTTCAATAGAGCCTTTTATTTTATCTCTAGAAGCATTTACATCTTTTTTAAAAAATGTGTAAAAACTGGATTACACTGCTATAGGATTCAAGATAAACATTTCTCTAAAGATAACCAGCAAGCACATACATGCTTAAAAATTTGTTCTATTTCAGTACTATGCAACAGTTGGAAGTCTTTGAAGTTTTAATTTGTTTTAGAACTTTTTTCAAGATATTAGTAAACATCAACAAAAAATTCATCTCTATTTATTGGCAAAGAAGCTGCACATTTTTCAGCTGCTAAATTTAAAAAGTAACAGGTAAATCTCACGTTTTTTGACAATGAGTTCTCTTTCTCTCTCTTTTCCTCCCAAATGCCCGTAACTCCGGTTTTTAAGCCTACTATTTATTGGTGGATTGTTTGTATCAAAAGCTAAAGAGTTATCCAGAGGAATTCCATTTTCCTTTAAACTTCTAAATTAATTATGCTATATCAAAGTCTGTTGAATCTCCTTTCAAAGTAGGGCAAGCAGTTGTAAACTGATCTTTTAATTAACATGGTTTTTGCCTTTTCTATAGCTTTCGTTTTTGTCAACTTCAATTAGAATGCAAATTAGTTTGATGTACAATTGTTTTTAGTTGCCAAGTTTCTCGAAAAGATTTTGACAGCACAAGGCTGGCTACTACTCTCCTCCAAATTTTCGGCTGTTTCAATTTACCTTGCTGCATTAATTTTTTTTAGGGGGGTCCACAGAAAATTATAATTCTCTTCTCTTTCTTTGAGTATAATTTACATTATCCTCATGTTTTTGTGTATACAAATGTTTTACAACATCAGCCCTTCAAATAAAAAATCAAAACTTCACTATAATAAATGATGCACATAGCAAATAGACATTTCTTTATTGAAACAATATAAAGAAAGTTAATCTGTATGTGGCTCTCTTTTCTTTTCTTTTTTTTTTTTTTTTTTTTTAATTACATGAATATTTTTCTTTTTTCATTGACATAGTTAAGACAGGAAAATTGAAAATCATTGAACAACTTCAACAAGCATGAGCAATTCATACCATATAGCAATAATGGTAGAAATGCAGAAAACCACTCTGATCTTGCTTTGCACATTGGTTGATGTGCAGCACATAATCTACAGTTGTCCTTAATGCCCATTTGGAGAACCAGATCATGACAATTTCAGACACATCTATTCTTACACACATACCTGTAGCTGATGATAAAGCTTTTTCTTTTTTCTTTTTTTTCCTTTTTTTTTTTTAAGTAGGCCATGAAAAGAAAAAGCAAACAATTTCAGATGCTGGAAATTCTGTTTTTGGGTGAAAGCAACAATATACTATGCTGAACTAACAAATACCATGAGAAGTTTTAGGAATAACAGGAAGTTGAGAAAAATATGTAGATGGGAATGCAATCAAAAATTTGAGTCTGAAAATTAATAATTGCAGTTTAATGAATAACTTAATAACACAATCTTTTAACTCACAGCACATAATTTTAAAAGAATTAACATATCAATTTTTTTTAACTTGGATAATTACATTTCTTTTCACACAGAACCTGAATGCTTTCAACTTGAAACATAACTACTACTACTACTACTACTACCAACAACAACAACAACAACAACAAAAGAGGCAGAGATATTAAGATGAATAAATTTTGAAAAGCAGACACCTTTTAAAAGGGGAGGAAAGCAAAAATTTCATCAGTAAAAGGACATGAAATAAAGCAAGAATACATTGCCTTGAGAATACGCTGAACCGAAAATCCTTTAATTTGTTAAAAAAAATTAATAATTATTTTGCAAACACATAAAGGAAAAGAATATTCAAAATTATTATTTTGGTTAACCAATTTTAAAAAAATACCTTTTCTAATTCTTCTTTTCTCTTTTCCCATGCTTGTGCAATCTCTTTTTGGAGACGTTCCTCATCAGTCTGCATCGGAAGCAAATAAAATGAGTAAAGATTATACAAAACTAATTTAGTTGTGATATGCAATGCAAAATCTCCAAACTTTTTTGATAAATAAATTAAATTAATGGAAAATAATTATTTAATAAAAAAGTATTTTATTTAATTGGAAATACTGTAAATTACCTCTTTAGAACATGAATTTGATTTGAATAAGTGATGCATATATCTTTTCTGCATCTAGAAGAGAAAATGGCATACGTCTTTTACAACAAAATTCTTTTTTATCAGCACACAAATAATATAGAGAATTAGAATGATCAAATAACAGCTACTACAAAGAATGTATGGCGAATAAAATAAAGTAGCTCAAAAAAATGCTTGGATGGTACGCTTCTTTTTACATGTAAAAAATACATTATTTTGGCCACTTTTATGCCAGGAAGGTCTTAATGAGATAAACACACATTTCAAAGTACGATACATTTCATTCATGGGATATTTTAAAAACAAAAATATTGCACGAGCTGTTTAAATAACAAAACACCTATTCTTAGAAATTAAATGAGAATAATTAAAATATTTATTTTAAAAAATAATCTAAGGGCGCATATTTCGTTTTAATTTCTAAGAACTTTTTATCACTTACATATAGAAATAACAAAACATCCATTCTTAAACACTAAAAATAAATAAATAAACTATTTAAACTACAAAACATCCATAAATCGCACAACTACTTATGGATATAAGATGATTACTTAAGCAAAAAACTATATGCTTTTAAAGAACAAAACATTCCTTCTTAAAAACAAAACAGAAATAAGTAAATCATATGTAAAGTCAAATTTAAGGAGACTGCATACATAACTTGAAATAAACAAAATAACACTTATGCACAGATTATATTTTTAATGCAGTTTCTAATGGCATTAATTGAATCCAAAAACAATGACTTTCGGCTATGAATAATCATGGCTCAATTTATGCCTCACCTAACAATGAATTTTTACTAGTAACCTTAAACAAAAATTCATAGTTATACAACATGACATGGAACTAAGGTATAAATATCACACCCAGAATCATCAGGATTGCAGAAATTTCCATATTTTAAATCGTCAGTTTAAATCTAGTTAGATAATGTGTAGATGTGGCAACACTAAGGCTTCACTTATTGTTTAGATCATACAGAAAAATACTAACATCCCCCATAACCATTCAAAGACCAAACATATGATCAGATCAATCAATATATTGCCACTGGTCTCAGTACAACTCCCAAGCTACCTGGTGTCTGAAAGTAGTATGAAGTAATCTCAGTTAGCGAGGAGAAAAATTACATTTACAGACCGCTGCTTTTTATATTATTATTAATTTATTTTTAAAAATAATCTATGGGTGCATATTTCGTTTTAATTTCTGAGAACTTTTTATCATTTACATACAGAAATAACAAAACATCCATTCTTAAACACTAAAAATAAATAAATAAACTATTTAAACTACAAAACATCCATAAATCGCACAACTACTTATGGATATAAGATGATTACTTAAGCAAAAAAACTATATGCTTTTAAAGAACAAAACATTCCTTCTTAAAAACAAAACAAAAATAAGTAAACCATATGTAAAGTCAAATTTAAGGAAACTGCATAAATAACTTGAAATAAACAAAATAACACTTATGCACAGATTATATTTTTAATACAGTTTCTAATGGCATTATTGAATCCAAAAACAATGACTTTCGGCTATGAATAATCATGGCTCAATTTATGCCTCACCTAACAATGAATTTTTACTAGTAACCTTAAACAAAAATTCATAAGTTATACAACATGACATGGAACTAAGGTATAAATATCACACCCAGAATCATCAGGATTGCAGAAATTTCCATATTTTAAATCGTCAGTTTAAATCTAGTTAGATAATGTGTAGATGTGGCAAGACTAAGGCTTCACTTATTGTTTAGGTCATATAGAAAAATACTAACATCCCCCATAACCATTCAAGGACCAAATATATGATCAGATCAATCAATATATTGCCACTGGTCACAGTACATCTCCAAAGCTACCTGGTGTCTGAAAGTAGTATGAAGTAATCTCAGTTAGCGAGGAGAAAAAACACATTTACAGACCGCTGCTTTTTATATTATTATTAATTTTGTGTGAGCCTGGTGATACAGATATTAGATAATTTAGGATACTGGACAACCATACTTTCCACGGTATTTCGCATTTAATAAATGACTAATTTACAATGTCTCATCAGTTACTGAAAGGTTAACCTATTAAATTTAGTGACATATAAAGTTTTAATCATTTAACCTATATCAAACTTATAGCAAAAAGTAGCTATGTTGAAAGATACCCTATGACCTATATCTTACCAAAAAGTACCTATTTTCTTGTTTGACTTCTAAATTAATACCTATGTTGAGTTAAGCAGATCCATATATAAGCTGATCCCTGCAGTTTAGATTTTAAAAAAGTTTCAAAAATTCTCATCTGATGCATGAAAATACATGGTAATTATAGAAGTTTTCAAAACATAATAAGTCTTGCATCATATGTCGGGTTGAATTTAGATACCAAACAAAAAATTGTTGAATAAATGAATTAGTTCAGCAAGTAAATTGGGAACAGGTGTAGAGACATCAGGTGTTTTTGGAAAAAGGCAAGATGACAAATGATCAACGCCTTTGCTGGGAATCGAACCACGGACCTCTGGAATACATGACCAGCGTGCAGACCATGAAGGCATGCTAAGTAGGTGGGAGAAATACCTTACATACTCTACCTTTTAAAGGGTGACTGGGGTTTTTAGAGGACCCAATCGCCAAATCCTGTGTGGGGAGAATCATCATCGACCACCCTTTTAGTTCGGATGCTACTGTACAGACATTAGGTATTTTTGAAAGAAGGCAAGATGACAAATGACCAACGCCTTCACCGGGAATCGAATTACGGACTTCTGGAATACGCGCCCAACGTGCAAACCACCACACCACGAAGGCATGCCAAGAAGGTGGGAGAAATATCTTACACAGGAATGATACAAAACACCCAATATAAAATAAATAACCATCTTATTCAAAAATAAATATACAAATATATCATAGATAAAAATAACAACTTGTTTCTTCAATGATGGAACTCTAATGGAAAATGAAATCCCAACACCAAGAAAAGGAGAGCTACAGCTCATTGCTAATTGCTCTAAAGCTAGAGCTCATTGCAGGATAAAGTGAAGATCTGTTGCATTCTCACACCATCCCCACCTCCAAATGGTACAGTGGTAAGTGACACTGACTGCCAGACTGATCGCCCTGGGTTTGAATACTAGAAAAGGCATAGATGTCTGTATCGTGTCTGTGCGGCAAGGAAGCCGAAATCCTCTCAGAAGGTTGATGATAGGGGAAGAAGGGTGGAACACTCTTGGACGGTTCCCTGAGCTGTTCTGCTTCAAAATTGGAGCAGTGCTGCACAGTTAGTGTGGTGGGACTATACCTGTATGATCAATGAAATGCTGTCACCAAGAAGAAATCAATTTAGAGGAATGAAATGCAGGCAAAGCTTGTGTGTTATTAATATTTCAAGGTCATTGGTTATGAAATTCTGGTTTCTCATCTACTTCTCCCTATACCTGTGTTATCATATGAGAGCTGTTTATGTTTTAGTGCCAGTGATGGCCAGTGATGTTGGTTAGAAGGCCAGGTGAGCACTTGGAACCACATTGTCTGAGTTGCAGACATACTTTATCTACCAGAAATTATGGTCTGAGGAGCAATTTCCTATGATAGTAGGAGCACTCTCATCACTCACCATCCCACATGCATTGACATGAAATTTGTATGTCAGGCTGGTGATTACACTGCTTGTGCTGCTATTTACGAGAAATATTTCAAGGGGCATTTTAAAACAGAATAATGCTCATCTCTATACCACTTCTATCACCTAACATGTCTTACAAAGGGTTCACATATTGCCCTCATCTGAAAGATCAACTAATCTTTCTCTCATTAAGTATGTATGGGATGCAATTGGACACAAATCCAGTGTCATTCACAACCAGCAAGGACCACTGCTGATTTGATTTACCAAATGCAACAGGCATGGCAACAGAATGACAAACAGCAATTGTACGACACAATGCATATATGCTTTTATGCTTGCATGCAACATCCAAATGATTACAGTGGTATTAATGTACCACTATTTCACATTTTAAATAGATCTCTTAATGCATATTTTAACCAATTACCATGAAATATTAATAACACACAAGCTTTGCCTGCATTTCATTCCTCTAAATTGATTTCTTCTTGGTGACAGCATTTCATTTTTCCTCAGTGTAAAATTCTTGTATCCTAAAAGTTATATGAAAACATAACAATACATAAATTTAAATTTTTCATAGTCTTTTAAAGAGAAAGAACTAGAAATTCATGAACACTGTTCCAAAGTTTGTGTGACAAAAATCAAGTCTGGGCCAAATTTCCATAACCTCATAGGATCCGAGCAGTGTAGATTGTTTAGACACTTCCCATTGATTCTTAGCACAGCTTCCAAGCCACTAATTCCATATATATAATGTAGAATTACCCTGAAGAAAAAATTCTGGTACTTATGTATTAATGCAATCACCTTAGCGCAATTTGGCGATTTTTTATAGATGAAAAAGAAAAAAGCTATTTATCACGTGCAAGGTGTTGGTTTTTACACTTTATTTTTTATAAAGATTCTCAAACTATTGATATTTATCGTAAGTCGGTAAACATTATCAAAATATGAAAAAGTATACTTTACCAAATTAAAGTATAAATTTTAATTACTAATTAAGGATTACGCATTAAAAAATCACTTGCATTCTTCTTTAAATATTTTTGTAACTTTCTTGTACTTTACATCTCCTGAAATATACAGAGATCTATTTCCATTTAAAAAAAATCAGAGAATTGTGCAGACTCAACATATAACAAATCTCAGCAACAGTGGCTATCTAGGAAACACATTTCGTTGTTGTTCTCTTCAAAACATTTTGAGCAAAATTCTATATTCCTGCAGAAATTTTACTACAATTCCTTTCATTACTGGCAAACTACACAAGCTTGTATTTTAAAACTAAATTTAAAGCAAAAAATATCATGATTTGTTTATAAAAACCATTGGGACTTAGAATACAATAAAAAAGAATGCATGTAGCTTAGAATTAAAAAAAATATGACAGTACATTTTCTTTACTCATATTAACAAAGAATAAAACAGGTTCTTTTTAAAATGATGATCCCAGAATTGCTTTTAGAAAATCAATCCACAGACCTTAAAGAAGAGCTATTATGATGCAGAAAAGCATCCTCATGCAACTTTTCTCATACCTTGCCAATATACACAAATATAAAATGAGCAAATATTTTTTTAAATCATTTTATTTCAGAATCATAATTTTAACCCTTTTATATATGGAAATATACTTAAAACATAGAAATTATGCAAAACGTTCTCTGCATATTTATCTATTCGTTTACATACACAACTTAATTATCAGAATGTCACATGATACTAACTTTTAAGCAATAGATTGTACATGTCCACCAAATTTTTTGTCAATAAAAGACCAGTAAACATGCAAGAAATGAAATAAATGAGGAATAAATTAAGTGTGAGAGTAGTTATTTGCTACATAATGACTAGACATGAATAAAAAACAAACGTTAAAACAAACTTTGAGCTTTTGCCCCATGTAAAATATACTTATGTAACTCAATTGTTATCAAAACATTTTATTCTTGGGGGGGGGGGGGGGAAAACCATCCAATTTTTAATCATTAACTTCATCAAACTCTAAATAACACTAAAGGTAATACATTAATTTCATATTAAAAATATGTTTTCAGTACTGAAAAATAACTGAAAATAATCAACAAGCTAAAAAAATTACACTCTGTTCCCCTTCTTTTCTTTTCCTCTGCAAATCTTCTATCTGCTCTTTTAATCTACAAATATTCCAAGGATCTTTTTCTCTTTCTTTATCACTCAACTGTTTCAACTCTTCCTGAAATTATGCAAATAATGATTAAATTAAAAAAAAAAAAAAAAAAAAAAAAAAAAAAGACATTTTATTCAATATAAATTAATGATTATACTATATTAAATGATTAAATTTATATTAAATAAAAATATTTTATTTATCTGATGATCTAAAACTGATAATCCGGAATTGCTGAAGTCCCGACGAGTCCGGATTAAAGACTTTTGACTGTACTTGAAAAAAGAGGTAAACCATTTAGTAAGATATAAATAATTAAAGAATATATTATTGAAGCAGTGGATATGGTAAGTTCCAGAAAAAGTCGATAAATACAAACAATTGCTTCTTTCAAGAAAAGCTATAAGAGTCACACAGCCCAAATTAGCTCATTTTCCCCTGTGACTGAACATTAGAAATAATCAATATCAGGAATTGCCATAAATTTCTGTCAATAAGTCTGGTTTCCCAACTCTTCTTTTTAAAGTAAAAACAGCTTTCTCATAATTTTCTGACAACAGGTAGCTTTCAATTAATTCATAAACTCTTGTATTCAGTGCTGATCTTAGACCACCAGCCTCCCACAAAGAAATTAAAATTGGCCATCTAATTTTATAAATCTTACACTTTAAATTTGAAAATTAATTGCTTTAATTACTCATTTTGCCACCCTTAAATTTGGATGACCACATGTTGTGCACCATCTTGCCCCCTGCTAGAATCAGCCTTGCTTGAATTCGGCAACATTGACCACAACAGGTAATGAAACTTATCACATTCTTCAAGCTCATTATCTTTATCAATTTTTTTAAATAGGTCCAAAAGGAAATCTAGTTCATCAGTTCTCCATCGAATGACTATTTTCTATTTTAGGAAGCCTGTAATATTTTTCCTTAACTTTTAATTAACTCTTCTTTTAAACCTCAAACTGTTCTAGTGAAAGATGTATGCATTATTCGACATTTCGTCTTTAAAGCTTCGACACTCTTTTTTCTTAAATGCTTTCAAAACATATATAGCAATATGTATAGCTATAATATTTCAAAAAATATATAGTATAGCTTTCTTAAATCAATTTCTTAATAAACAAAATGCAATCTAATTACTGTATTTGCCTGCATATAAGAAGCACTTTTTTTTCTTTGAAAATAGGTCTGAAAAATGGAGTGCATCTTATACATCGATATTCAGTTTTTGATTACATTCATTCCTCTGTTCAGAGTTATGCGATTTTCTTTTTGTTTATTTTCTTGTGGAGTGTGGGAATATTACAGTTACGGAGAGTTCAGTGAATGTGCATGCACTGTTATGGATGATCACAGCTGGATTCGTTTAAACTTTCCAATTCTTGTGAACGACTTTAAAAGTGTGAAATTTCTACTGTTTAAATTTCTTAAATTTGTTGGCAAGTTATGGCTCAAAAACATAGGCATCGCTATGACATAGTACACAAGCTTTGTGTGATTGCGTATGTAAAGAACATGGACACAGGGCTGCAGAGAGGCATTTCGGGCCACTCCAAACTGAGAAAATGATAAGAACTTGGTGGAATCAGGAAAAGGATCTAAGAAAAGCAACTCATAGATTGGGTATTTGCTGAGTATTATTTTGTATTTGTATTACTTTATATTTAAAAAATACTGTAAATTCATTATAATTATCAGTAATAAAGTTTTATCCTTCAAAAATGTGTATAAAAAGGGGGTGCGTCTTATACGCCGGCAAATATGGTAATTACTTCAGAATGCATATATATTTATATTCTATATCTAATATAACTTCATAAAACATGTAATCATTTTAATATGAAAATAGCAAAAAATAAATAGTTTACTTATTTTCTCAGTATACCAATATGATACATTAATTTAAAATGTTTTATAAATTATTTAAAACTCATTATAATGTCCCAATTTGGGCACCAAAATTATGTTTCGATACGCAAAAGAGAATTAACTGTTTCAGATACCGCGACTAACCATCTACGGTCCTATAATATGTCAGCAGATTTTACTTAACAAATTGCAAAGCAAATAATTTTCTTTGCTTTGAGAATACTAATAATGTATTTTTAGCTTTTGAACACTTGTAAATTACTCGCGTGAAAATTCTATCAACATAAATGAAACAAAATTATAAATTTTTTACTCTAGTAAATCATAAAAGAATATCATTTAGTGGTTTTTAAGTGGGGGGGATTCAAATTATTCTATTCTATTTATTAACTTACCCCAGAATGAAAATTTAAAATGACATCAAATATCACAAATTCTAAAATTAAATATTACATGGGACAATATTTGTCACACAGGAGACCTTTTTTAAATAAATATAACATTTTCCTAAATATATTTTTTAAGTAATTAGAAAAGTAGGTTATAGTAGACTGAAGGGTACTCCTTGTATTATTGCAAAGTTGTTGTTTCATTTATCGCTAAGTCAAGGGAGTGCGCAATTCTCTGACATTTTTTTTAAGTGAAAATAGGTCGAAGTGTACATGGATACCGAGTTTGTGCAATTCTTCGACTTTTTATTTTGGATTTGTGTAGCAGCGATTTTTGGCGCTGAAATGCTGCTACACAAGGCCAAAATAACGAATCAAAGAATTGCACACACTTGGTATCCATGTAGTGCCTAAAATCGCCAAGGGGTACCCATAAATATACTTTCACCAAAAGAAAAAGACAAAGTTTATAAAAAATATGAAAGAACTAACAATTTCAAAATTAGTGCCTAGTGCTGCTTAATTTTTAAAATGAATTTTAAAAGTTAAGATTGAAATACCTAGTAAAAGCTGTAAGAATATTTTGACTCTACCTATCTCTGTTTCCAAATTACACCACAAAAGAAAAAAAATTTTTTATAAACAAATATTTTAACAATTAACATTAGAACAAAAATTGCTAAATACATAAAAATGGCAGTATCAAAAACCATAGGTTGAATCTCTTTTCTTCAAAGCTTCAAACAGAACTTGTCAAGGGAAAAGTGTTTTGAAGCTTCAAACCAAGTTGATTAACTAGACAAGCTAAAACAAGTTTCATTCCGACAAATTCATTGAGACTTTGAATGGCAAAGTGAACTTAAATTCTTTAAGGTAATTGGACAAATGTACTGTCTCACTGAATTTGGCTCTTTTCCTGACCTGTTTCAGCTGTCTAAGGACAAAAATTGAAAGTTGAAATAAGTAATACAAACAGATACAAAAAGTGAAACCGATATACTATCTAATATCAGTAAAATGATAAAATACAAGAAAAATCCTAAAGAAAGATATGCCATTTTAGAAAAAATAAATACTAACGAAAAATTGTAATAATAAAATACTAAAAGTAAGCTCAAACTATTTTCAATCATGAAACTTAATTTGATTGTCCTGTGTATAGGCAAAAAAGGTGCCAGCTCTAGTTCCTGAATTAATAAACTTCTGTTAAAAAATTGTTTAAAATAAATTTAAATTAACTAACTGGCAAAAGGAAAATGGAGAAGAGCAAATTTGCTAAGATCTTTTGGTTGAACTTTACTGTACAGTTCCACTTGGTTTCTGTCGCCAAGTGGCCCAAAACCACCAAATGTTATTGATTGTTCATGAAATTTGGAAGCCCGCTGCGTGAAGTATGTTTTTTTGGTATCCATGAAGTAGATTTCTGTTGATAATGTTGGCGAAATTAGTCTTGGGGGGGGGGAAATAGCGATTATTGCCAAATGTTTTGTGATGAGATTTTGGCTATTTTTTGCAAGAGTAACACTTTCATATAGCCCGGAGATTTTGAATTGCTGTGTTTGGTTGCATGTGCATTATGTTTTATGAACGTGGTGACTGAAAGTTTGCTTAGTGTTATAAATGAGTATATTATTCCGGATATGACTATAATTTCTGATGCAGTACATAAAATAGAAGGAACAGATTTATAGCTTTCTTGGACGCTATTATACATATTTATCCGCAATTAACATCAGCTGAGCCGAAACGACCAGATATTTAATTGAATTGCTTTCGTGGATGAGATGATGTTGGGAGGCATTGAGATACGCACGTGAAGAAAAGGTATGTTAAAGAAATGATGTTTTATTTATTTATTGGTGTCTGTGTGTTAATTTTTGTTGTTTAATGTTTTTATGTTAGGAATATGTATTTTTAATTATTTATTACTCTGTGTTTGTGTATTTTTGGTTATTTGTTCGTGTCTGCATGTTAAGACAGTGGCGAATTTCTTCTGGTTAACATGATAGTTTTAATGTTGTTTTAGCTTTCTGATTTTGTTAAAGTGAAAAATAGACTGATATGAACATGGAGAAAGTTAAAATTAATGTGCAATGCATAGTTCGTGCAATTTAAAACTCTGATGTTTTTCAAGTTAAAATAGGCCGATGTATACACTGGTGTCCAAAAGTTAAGCATAATTGATAATTATGTGAATAAAGAAGGAACTGTAAATCAGAATGGCGGAAAACGTGATATGCGAGTGTAAAATGGTTATAAAATAAGGAAGCAAATCAAAAGAACGATAATAATTAATTTTATTATCCAAAGTAGCAGTTTGAAAGAAAACTGAGAATAGCAAGGGTTCACACTTTAAAGAAAAAAAGAAAGAAAACATTAAATAAATTACTGATGCTGCAGTTTAATAAGGCGTGTGGTCACCTCTGACAGCCAGGCACGCTGCACAGCGATTTACCATACTTGCTATGAGATGATGAATGAGTTGTGGGCTCAAACGGTTCCAAGCTTCTTGGAGAGTTCTCTTCAGTTCTGTAATGGAGCTTGGTGGGTGCAAAAGGGCTGCAATTTGTCTCCCGAGCATATCCCATACATGCTCAATAGGATTTAAATCAGGGGAGTTCTCAGGCCATGACATGCGCTGGATGTTTTCTGTTTCAAGGAAGTCATCAACCAGCACTGATCGGTGACACGGCGCATTATCATCCATGAATATGAAGTCAGGACCGACAACACCTCGAAACAAGTGAACATAAGGCTCAAGAACTTCATCTCTGTATCTTTGACCAGTCACAGACCCTGTGTCAAAGAAATGGAGGTCTGCGGCCGTCCATCATGATGCTTGCCCATACCATTACTGCCCTTGATAGAAAATGATGTCTTTCCAATATATTTCTTGGTTCAAAACAAGTTCCACGTTCTCTCCATATCGTCACCCGATGAGAATCAGTACTCAGACTAAACCGGGACTCCTCATTGCAACATCACATTGGCCCACTCTCCCACACTCCAATGATGTTTCAAACTCCAGTTCAAACGAGCATGTTTCTATGCAGATGTGAGGGGAATGCAAACTGCTGGTCTTCTGGCATACAGGCCAGCATGATTGAGTCTCCTGTAAAACAGTTTGTCTCGAAATTCGTATTCCTGTGGCGACTGTGAGCGCCGATCCCAGTGCTCTGGCAGTACTGCCCTCTGACGTCATGCACTTATTACCAAATATTGGTCTTGGCGAGGGGTTGCGAGTCTTGGTCGACCTGATACTGGTCGTCGGGTAACATCTCCCATTCTTTGAAACCTCTGCCACAGTCTTGAGATCACAGACTGGTTCACATTCAGAATTTGAGACACTTCAGTTTGTTATCGTCCGGATTCCAGCATTCCAAAGATTCTTCCTTTCGCAAACATCTCCAATTGACGTTTTTGTGCCATCATTCACCCTGTTGATGGTTAACAACATTCTTTCGCACAGCAGTTGCCTAAAACTTGTCTGAACTGCCTATGCTGCGTGAATTGATTTCTCTGCGTTCTGACACGTGCAGGTGTTTCGCACAGGACGTAGTCGACTGAAAAGTTTTGCATAAACCCAATGTATTCTTCTTCACCCAATTACTATCCGCAAGAAATTTGGAATAATTTTACGAATATTTACTCCATGTTTTTCACATTTTACAATTTATGCTTAACTTTTGGACACCAGTGTATATGGACACCGAGTTTGTGCAAGTCTTTAATCCGGACTCTTCAGGACTTCGGCGATTCTGGATTATCGGTTTTTCCGGATTATAGATCGTCAATTTAAATCTGGTAAGATGGTATGCAGAAATCATAAAATTAAAAATATTAAACCATAATTTATGAAATAAAGAGCAATTATGATCTAAAGGGTATCAAAAGTTACAAAAAAAAAAAAAAAAAGGCTTAATATTTATTTGTTTACTTTATTAAACTTTTCTTTCAATGTTAAGTTAAGTTGCTTCATTTTATGTGCTAATACTTTTTCTTTAATTCTATAAACAGACATAATTTCTTGTTCAGTTCCACTGTTCAAGTCCCGTAATGCTGGGTCGAGAAATATGAATAACAACTAACTTGTCAATCGAAAACTTTTTGTTTTCAATAACCTCTGTCATTTTCTTCATTATTCGGAAGCGGTACATCGAAACATGCTTTTGCTTTGTAGATCCTTGACAGATCCAGAATCAGAAATTCTTTTTGACATAATCGAAAGTTCAAGCTTACTTTATAAAATTGCTCTAACAGTCTGCAAAAAATAATAAGCCGTATCCAATTGGAAGATAAGGAACAACACATCTGCAAAACATTAACTGAAATAGATAATTAGATAATTTTCACTTAGCTTATACCATCCATTATACATTAACGTGCATGCGTTATTATGCGCATGCATAAAGGTATTATGCGCATGAGTAAACACTATGTAGCTTTGAGGTCCGGATTATAGATCATTCCAGATTTGGACGTTTGGATTAAACTTTGCACTGTATTGATTTTTGTTTTTATTTTCTGT